AATTAATTTTTTTTTATTAACACTAGGCTTTCAAAAAAACTTATAGGTACAAGGTATCACTTAAAACAAATATAAAACTACATTAAATTTAAATTATGGAAAAATTGGTTATAAATAAAAATAAAATTAAATCTAATATGTTGATGAAATTAAATAACAATGCTGTTTAAGCAGAGGTATAATTTTCACTTTATTTATTTGTCAGTTTATTTATTTCAGAATCAAAATAGTACAAAAGTAAAAAAATAAAAAACAAATAATTAAATAAAACATGGTCTATGGTCTTTTTACTGACATTTTAATTGATGAATTTAAAAGGATTTTCAAACTTAGTAGCTGATATACTAAATTGAAAAATCCTGAGTGATACATGGTTTAATTTTAAAATAAACATTTATTTCCAAATATTTTTTAATAAGTAAAATAATTTGATGTATAAAGATTCCCAGTACATATAAAACAAGAATGGTAGATATTTGGTGGAATTGACTAGTGAATAAAAAAGGCTTTTTTTCCAACTTTTTTGCCTTATGAAGGAAGAATAAGAAATTTTTTGCAGCTTTTGTGACTCTAAAATTTCAAATGGTTAATCATATTTTACATATATAAGAAGAAAAAGAAAATGATACCTAGCTTTCACAGAGAGAGTTTTGTTGAGAAGTTCCAAGACCTCATCATAACACATTTTCAGTTTGTTTTCCTTCACTCTGACAATAGTTTTAAAAAATTTTGCACTTGTAAATTTATTTATTTTTTTCAAAAAAATAAATTGCTATTGGAATGCTTTACTAAACAAAGCATTACTTACCCAAGAAGTTTGTTTTCTTCTTTTATTTGCTCTAAATATGGCTTCATTTGAATGATGCTTTCTTCAATTATCTTTAACTGATCCTTATATATAAATGAAATACCTATCAGTTAGTATAACTTTTTGCAATATAACAACTTTTGAATAGTTGCAAAACTTTGAAACCTACTTTCAACTGATTGATTGTTGCATTGTTAGTGAGATAAGCAGATAAAACAGCATCTAAAATGATTTCATTTTACTAGTGAGATAAGCAGATAAAACAACATCTAAATTGTTTCATAGCAAATATATTAAACATTAATGATTAATTCCTGTTTAAAATAATTTAAGATTTTATTTATTGAGAAAAATATTAAATGTTGACAGACTAAGGATAGTCCAAAATAAACTCTGTGTTTATTTTACATTTTTACTTTTATTATTGATAAAAAATTATACCTATATTAAAAAGCTTTTAAACTTCATTGAGATAAAAAAATAGGAATATTTTTTGTTTCAAAACAGTTTTGGAGTTTACAAATTTAAAGTCAAGATAAAATATAATGAACACTTTACTCTTAAAGAGTTTTTTTTTTTTTTTTTGTATAAAACAAACCTTGTTTCTCTTTTTTAAAATTTCTAGGAAACATCATAACTTTATGACGTAGGACACTTGATATAATTGTTTCTTCTTCCACTGCTTGGTGTAATTGCAATCTTTCTGTGTCCTTGAAGAAAAACACAAACAATTTTATTTTTTGTTATCTTAATACTTTTTATTTCATTCTTGATTTTTTTAAATATTTATCCAAATATTGACAAAAAACATTCACACTTTAAATCAAAGTAAAATGTTTTTTATATCAAGGATATTCATAAAAATATCACTAATAAATAACAATGGGAAGAAAACACATATCTAATTTAACAATAAGAAAAATAATAATAATAGCAATAATAATAGTAATAATAATAATAATAATAATAATTTTTTCTCTTTTGTTAAAAATCAACTTACAGGGAAGTAGGCAAAAGTCTAGGTAAAGCTTGCACACAATTTGCTGTAGTACAAGAAGTGTTACCAATATTTATTAACAAAATTAGAAATTACAGAAGTTCAAGATTAATTTGAATTGAGTTTTTTAAATTATAGATAATTTTTTTTCAGTATATACTAAGCCTAGTTCAGCCAATTAATAAATAAAAACAATTTAAAAAAAAATTGGTAAAAAGTTCTTTGAGGAAACTCCTAAATATTTATGAGCCAAGCTGATTCATTAATCAAATTGACTAAAAGACATTTAAGAAAATTAAAACAAATCAAAACAAATGAGGAGGGAGGGGAGGAAGGAGTTAATGAACCCTCATCTCCCTTCTTTTATAAGATATTTTCTTACCTAAAATATTGAGTTAATACTAGAATTTTTAATTAAAAAAAAAAAAGAACTAATAGATAAACAATTTTAAAATTTATCATTAAAATTTATTTTTATGACAAACAAGCAAATAAATAATTGGTATAAATTGAAAATATTAATGCTAAGTGGGACTAAGTTGGGACTAATTTTTAAGAAATTCAAAAGTAAAGTCTTTTTTTAAATTTATTAGGTTTTAAAAGGTATTAGTAATAAAAAAAGGTACTTTTTAATTTTTTTTTAAATTGAGTTTTTGAATCGCTTGTTTATTTATCAGTAGAAGAACTTTTCAGTAGTGTTTTACTTGATGTAAAAAGAATCCTTTCTGCGCTTCATTTTTGGTAATAGATTTTGCAAAGTCTTGAATTAGATTGACAGCTTGATCATCATTTACAGATTTCAATGATTTAATATTCTCAAATGTGTTGAAAATTTTGTGTTACCTTTCCAAAATTTTTGGGATTGGGCTAACCAGCCATTACCTTTGTTTTAATATCCAAATTAATTTAGAATATTTCTTGATTTTGGTCAAACTAAATCAGTCAAACAAGTACTTGGCTTCAGAAGAGGAAATTGTGAAAAGCCAATATCATGTTCCCAGTTTTCTCTTATTGTCAAGAATTATTTTAGTTTTATCACAATTAGATATTTTATTAGAAAAAGTGAGAGATTTCTTCAGTTAAATACCAAGAATCCCGATTAAATTAATTCAAAGGCACCAATAGCAACATCATTGTCAGTTTTTTTATAAACAAGAATTTCTTTGTAGAATTCTTAGTTATTAAATAGTGCATCAATTGTGTACATGTAGGTCACATTTACACATAAAATAGCATTGTAAATTGATCAAAATGTGTTAATTTTTCTATAAAACTTTCTTCATACCATGCCAATCCAGCAAAAGCAAACATTTTTGATGTGCAAATATGTACACATCCATCAATATGGAGACCCCAGGTTTGCTCCACTGTACATTTATTTGTTTTGGATTCAGTTATTGAAAAGCAAGTTGATAACATTCTGGATAATCATATCCTAACATTTTTTGAGAATTTTGGTTAGGTAAACCAGACAAAAAAATTTCTTCTGCTTGTTTGGTCTTTAATAATGGCTCCTTAGTTTTAATTCTTTTAAAAGCGGTATTTAAACTAAGAAATTTTGGGCCATACTTCATTTTTTAAAGTGTCTAAGTGGCTTGTAACTTTACAGATTAACATTCTGCAAAATGAATCTCATCAACTTGCTGTTGAACTTTATTAACCAATCTGCTAGCTGTGCTTTCTGAGATACTTCATCCTAATTGTAACCTAACTCTTCAGCAACAGCTAAAATGATCCCAGACCTTTCTTAGTTTGATAAATTCGACCTTTCAGTCATTAGAGATGCTTTAGGGTATTCTAAATTCTTAACTTTTTTATTCTGTCTAGTAATAGCACTTTCTTCCTTTTTATCAGAAACTTTGTATTCATTATCAAACTCTGGCAGTACATTGAATCTTCTATTTTTTTATATTTTCTTTTCTTAATTTTTTTGCTCCTTTTTTTTCTTTCATAGTATAAATATTTTATTAATTATTTTTAATTATCTAAATTATTTTTTTTATTGACGCTGATCTAAGAGAAAATTTAAATCTGATATTTGACTATTGATGTCACAAAAGGTGTCTTTTGATCATCGAACCTTGCAAGATATAGATAATGGCATAAAACCTCTCCATTAGTTGGTAGTGGACTAAATATCTGTGATTTAAGTGCAGGCAATAATTTCCCAACAATTTTATCAAACATCTTATTTTTCCTAAATTAAATATTGCTCATATCAGATTGGATAATTTTTTATATATGCTGTTATACTTTTAGATGTAAAAAAGAAATACCAATCATACAAATATAAAATTATATAAAGAAAAATAACTATATTCATAGTAAAAACTTTTCTAATCTAAAACTTTGCATGTAACTTTTATAACTTTTTATAATAATTGAATAAATAAGTTTATATTTATATTTACTAATTTAAATTTATCTGATACATAGTGAAGAACTATAATAGTATCAAAGTTGATACAAAACATGTTTAATTTAAACAATACATTTTCATATTTAGCTTAAAATCACTGATTAATGTTAAATAATTTTTTAAAAGGTTAGTGGCTGCAAGCAAACACTAATTAGAGTTGAAAGTTATTGGAAGAGTAAAGATGAAGATTGTAGAGCAAGATAACGATTGACAGACGACTTGAAAGATTGCAAATTATATGAATCAGGAAAGCAAGATGAAGGAAGCAAATTCCAAAGAACTGATGTCCAAGGAAAAAAGCTAGAGGAATAAAAGATTTTGGAGGACTTAGGAATAATCACAGAAAAAGGATGAGACTTATTGAATAACGGGTAACGCAAGAATGAATTTTAGTAGATGGCAAAAGAAACGCTAGCTCTTTAGAGCAGTGCCCATTATAGTATTTGTAGAAAAGAGAAAGAGAACCAACATTACAATGATGTGATAATGGTTGAAGGATGGCTGCAAGAGCAGTTCCAACTATGTTTGCAATGTGTTTTTGCACATTGTCTAAAAGAGAAAAGACATCATTAGAAGATCTGCCCTAGATATGGCAACATACAAAGCTGGATTTGAGATTTATAGAGATAGAGAATTGAATCCGTAGTAAGAAAGTGTTGAGCTTGATAAAGAGATGCAACCTTAGCAGATGCTAATTTTGCAACGGATTTGATATATGATTTCCAAGAAAGATCAGAAGTATAAGTTAATCCTAGAAGATGAATGGTAGATGACTCATCGAGTTCATTACCGTTCATAAATATAGGAAGGTAACAATTGGCTGAAAAAAAATTGAGTTTTATCTGAATTAAAGTTCACCAGCCACTGTGAGCCCCATGCTGTAGTAGAAGTAAGATCCTTTTCAAGCTCAAATGTCCATTCCAAGCAATCAGAGAGTGTTGGCTTCTTTATGACAAGTATAAATGGTAGTATCATCAGCAAACAATGCCACCTTAGATATGAGAATATCTGGAAGATTGTTAATGTAAATTAAAAAGAGTATAGGGCCAAGGATTGAACCTTGAGGAATATGGAGAAGAGTGCTGTCCATTGAGGACAACTTTTATACTATGATTGGAAAAGAAGGATTCAATAATCTTAAAGATGTTACCAGACACACCATAAGAAGAAAGCTTATGGAGAAGACCAGCATGCCAAGCTTTATCAAAAGCTTTAGAAATGTCAAGAGCAATGGCCTTAACCTCTCCACTTTTATCTAATGCATGATAAAACCTATCGGTTATTACTTTTAGCAAACCAGCCATAGAACGAGAAGATCGAAATCCATATTGATGATCAGAAAGTAAGTTATTAGATTCAAGATGAGAGATTAGGTGTTTGTTAATTAAAGATTCAAAAACCTTGCTTATTATAGAAAGAAGACTAATGGGAAGGTAGTTAGACAAATCAGATAGCTCTTCAGATTTTTTGAAAATAGAGATGCTGCTTTCCAGCAGGCTGTAAAACAAGACTCTGATAAGCACTTGTTGAATAGTTTTGAAAGTATAGAAGGCAGCTCTGGAGAGCACTTCTGCAAGACTATAACAGGTATGTTGTCTGCGCCACAAACTGTAGAAGAGTCTAAGAAAGAAATCACATTAGTTAAAGACGCTGGAGTGATACGAATGTCAAGCAATGGAATAACCTGTTTGAAGACAATATCAGGTAGAGCGCAACTAGTAGAACCAAGAGATGATATTGATAAATGGCTCTTAGCAAACAATTCAGTTTTGTCTTTAGGTGAGGTGAGAAAGTCTGAACCATACAAGAGAGGTGGAATTACAGATTTGCCCTTTTTGTTGATATTTTTAAAGATTCTCCAGAAGTCATGAGAGCAGATTTTTGTAATGAAATACAAAATTTCATAACCTGAGAATAGTGGACTTTGGCGTTAGACAAAACCTTTTTACAATGGTTTCTAGCAGTAATAAACAGACGGTTTCTGGAGAATTGTTTTGCTGATAGATATGAAGGTAACGGTTTCAATTGGCAATTGCAGCAGCACAATGTGAGGAAAACCATGGAGAAGAGTAAGGCTTGACCTCACTCTTCTCCATGAATTTCCTTACTCTTCTTCAATCATCAAGAGGGAATAAAGGATTCCATGCCAGCCTGAATCCACAAAGTTATGTAAGAAGCACATTTGTCAACAGGAAAGAAGACGAAAGATTTCTACCCAAGGGCCATCACAAAGAAAACCATGTAAAGAGTCCCAATTAGCTTTAAGGTAGTTGCAAAAGGTACAATGATTGAGTGATTCATCCGTGATCAGAAGCACCTAAAGGTAAATGTGAAAAAACACCTAAGGGTAAATGTGAAAAAGGCAAAATTTGTGGGCTTTATTGCCTGAAGAGTCACTGAAACTAGAACCAAGCCATTCAGTATCATGAGCATTAAAGCCACCAACAACAACAATATTGGCTGATGGATAAAGAAAGATAGCTTGGTCAATATGATTAGAAATAACATCAAAAGGGTGCAGTCTTGAGATGAAGCAGAGTGATATAGAACAACAAGAAATGCAAAAAAGTGAAGTTGTCCTAAATGAAAGCCCATAAAAGAGTAGTCTGTTGATTCAAACCTAGTTTCCCAACAAATGGGTGAACTTTTACGAATGTAAATGCCCAGGCCAAGCATGTGACTATTGGAGAAATTAAAAGAAGATAACCATCAACACCAAGATCACAAGATGAGACACCTGAACTCAAATTAGTCTAACTAAGAGCATATAGGTCTGGTGAACTTTGCAACAGATAAGACTCAACAGGAGAAAAGTTACTTTAAAGACCACATTCATTTTTTAAACTTGTTAAAGAACTCGAAGCATATTTAGTACTCAATACACTGTTTGATAGCCCAAGCAATTGCCTCATTCCTACTAATAAACCCAAAGCCGTAACAAAGAGCTCCAATGTGACCTTGGTAATGCACACTAAAAGTACAAACAGGGACACCATCCGTACGCAACATGGCACTGTTCGTACTTTGATATTTTTCAGCTGTCGATGGAATCAGCCTCTCTAAGAGCTACCAGAGCTCAGGAAACCTGACTACTGACTGCCAGCTGGCCTCAGAACCATAAAAATGAGTTTTAGAGCTGTACCCTCATTAGGAAATAATAGAATGAGTTGCCTAGTTATAAAAAAAGAGACACAAGCAAAACCCATGCATCGAGTTAAGCAGATCCAGCATTTAGCATCCTAAACTGGAAAAAATGTATTAAAAATACATCTGCGCCTGCCTAATAGATGAAGAAGAGGTGCGAGGCTGGTCAACAGATAGAATTTGTTTACCCCTTAAGTCTTTGCCTAGGAGGCCGTCTACAAGGCAGTAGCCGGATGCATTTAACATCTGCCCAAGATGAGTATTTTTATCAGGAAACTATCTCTAGCTTTAACTCAAATTAAAAATAAATTGGCAATAAGTTGCCAACCTTAAATTGCTGGCTTTAAGCACAATAAGGTCAGCAATTAGGTCAGCATTGCTGAATACTGATTCTTACAATTTTGATTTCAAGTTTTTGAACTTTGTAGCCTATTTTTTATTACCTTTTGTACTCAACATCAGTTTTGTTTAATTATTATTCAAGTTATCATTTTCAACAGCAAAAAGTTCTGTTGTAACAATTCTTCAGGGTTTAGTAATAATTTATATATATTTTTCAGACATAAAAATATTTAACAAACCAAAACTTTTAGTGAATCTATGATTTCTTTAATACTTTCTGAATTAAGTGCGCAAACCACATCTCTACCATCTAATAAGACTGAAATCTTTTTTACTAAAATAAAAATTAAAAATAATTTTTTGTTTTGTAGAATATATTACATTTTTGTTATTAAATAACAAATAGCTTTAAATAATATGAGAGAGAGAGAGACGTAAGACCAAACAAATAAAATTTTTTTTTTAAAGTGAACAAACACATAAGTAATATATATATATACAATCACTCCCGTCACATGAAACACGCTCATTAATAGAATATTTATAAATTGCGGGTGCAATAAAAAACACTTGCTAATTTATTTATGTGAGTAAAAAATTGTGCTCGTCCTAAAAATTTAGGAGGGAGAAAACTAATAATGCTTTACTTGATTTTATATTAAATTATTTTATAAAAAATTTTTGTTAAAGATTCTTGTTTAATTGAACAAATAAGTTTGTTTGTTGTTAAAAACAAAATAATCTCTATTTACATATCTTTAACTGCGTTTTTTCAACTGAGATAAAATGTTAAAGTAATACTTCAACTAAAAAACTCATTTTTTTCATGTTAACTTACATCATTCTGTCTCAAATTTCTACGAACAATGAATGGTGATTTTTGAATGAGACTTTATATAAAACATTTATAGCAATTATTTAACAAAATTAAATAAAATTTTATTTATTTACCTAAGTTTATTAATAATATTAAACTGCCAAAATTTAACAAAATTTAAAAAGCTTTTGTTATAAAAATTATAACTAATATTATTCATAACTTAAATAACTTTACTTCAGAAAAAGAAAAGTTTAAGTTTGTGAAAACGTTTGCTAAAAAAGTTGCAAAAATTCTATTAGCGTTAGCAACGAAAAAACATTAAATATGTTTTGACAAAAAAAATCATTATTTCATTGTTTTTATAATGCAAAATCATTTTGAATTTATATTTTAATTAAACAAATGAAATAAAAAAAATAAAAGCTTATGAACTTCTTTCAAATAAATTCAATGTAATGATAAAAAAAATTGACTGTAGTATTAAGTTAAACACATAAAAGATAAATTTATTCTTTAAAACAATATCATTAAGAACTAGGTGGGAAAAAAAACACAATCAGATGCGATCAAATAATAAATAAGTATTTAGGAAGTCAAAAGAATTTTAAACATTTTGTCAGGCTGTGCGCTGCTAAATAATAATTTTAAAATATTTATCGTCTAAAGAATGCTGTATAACAAATTAAAACTTAATAAAATTGTGTAGAACAGCCATATCCATAAATAAAAAATCGCTCCCAATCTTTTATTTATGGATATGGCCGATAACTTAATAACTAGCGCGCACATAATTGCGCTCGCTAAAATAATTTTTGAGTTTTAAGGGCGCAAAACATTGCGCTGGACAATTTTCTTCATGCCAAGGCCTATATATATATATATATATATATATATATATATATATATATATATATATATATATATATATATATATATATATATATATATATATATATATATATATATATATATATATATATATATATATATATATATATATATATATATATATATATATATATATATATATATATATATATATATATATATATATATATATATATATATATATATATATATATATATATATATATATATATATATATTTATATATATATATATATATATATATATATATATATATATATATATATATATATATATATATATATACATACATACATGTATTTATGTATGTATATATGTGGTAAAGATGGATGGTATGTATATATGTGGTGGAACGCTCACTTCATAAGTGAGAAGTTCCGAATTTGATCCCCACCACATCCCTGATAGTATCATGTTCAACTTATTTCTCTGCGTAGTAGCCTTGTTTGTCAAAATTCATATTTTAGAGTTAAAGAGTTGAGAGAGATTTTTAATTATAATAAAGTAGCTTTCTCAACTATAGTGGCCTTTTTGGCCTTGGGGAGATAAACAAAATTTTTTTAACTATTAGGCTTATATATTTAAAAAAGAGAAACAACTGATTATGGAGGATTAAGCTGACAGAAGTTGAAAAAGCAACAAACCTAATCTTTGTATAGAATGTTAAATAATGATATATTAACAAATGATGAAGTAACATTTGAAATGATGTTTTAATTGTAATTGATAAATCACCATTGAAATATTAATAAACAAATTTTGATGAATTAAAATAGGTAATAATTAATATATAAAACTTACACAGTTTAACATGTATATATATATATATATATATATATATATATATATATATATATATATATATATATATATATATATATATATATATATATATATATATATACATATATATATATATATATATATATATATATATATATATATATATATACACATATATATATATATATATATATATATATATATATATATATATATATATATATATATACATATATATAGATTTTAAAAACTTACACAGTATATGTAGATCTTGCTTTTTTGATTTTGTTAGAATTGTCATATTTGATTCTTGGGCTAAAACTTCTAGAAAGGGGCTTAGAATGTGCACAGAAGTCATTGTTCTTGTACGAAATTTCATGGTCATTTATTTTTAAGCTATAAGATCTATAGTTTAATTTTTATATTCTAAAAAAAAAAGTAATAATAATAATACAATAACTTTAATTTTATAATTTAATTTTATTAATTTCTTTTATAGTCTAATTACTGAGTAATTAGACTATAAAAGAAATTAATGTTTCATTGTGGTATCCTTATTAGACTTGAAATAAGCACTCATAACCCTTAATAGTAAAATTCAATAACAAAATTAAATTTAAAAATTTCTTTACACTAATGGAAATATGTACATATAGAAATTATTTGGTTGTTGCTAATACTATTAGTACTATTAGTAATAGTACTCCAATATTATTACAGTAGTCATTATTTATTAAGATCACTTAAACAAATTTTTACGTTGTTTTTTCAATATTACTGAATATATTTTTATTAAATATTTTTATTTTTAAATAAAAATTATTTAAAATTTCTAAAAATAAGTTACCTTCAAAAGGTAACTTGTTCATAGAAATAACCTCTTCAATCAAGCTTATATAAAATACAGGCTTGATAAAATAGTGTCAATGTAACCTTTAAATATATTAATAAAAATAAACAAATACTGTAGAAAGCTCTCAATCATTAACTGATGTTATTATTTTTATTATTATTTTTATATATATAAAATAACAGATTATGGTTGTCATAGAAATGCGAAGTAGGGGAGGAAAATATGCAGTAAATAGAAAAAGCAATTCCACGCGCCTCGATGTTTTGCTTTTATCGAGGAAATTCAATTTTATAATATCTATGTGTATAAAAAATATTTAAAATTTATATTATTTTGGTAAAAAAATATATGTTCTTTAGGTTAATTTTTTATTTTTTTTTACTTTCTATTTTACAAGTTATTGCACATTTAAGAGCGTCACGGCGTGATAAATCGATGTTACTGTATTACGCGCGTATTTTAAGTTATCTGTAAAAATATAAAAAGTTTAGAAGTTATGAAAAGTTTAGTTTTTATTATAAAAATCTTAGTACCGCAAACTTTTTTTTTTCTCGATTAAAAACGCATTAAAGCGTGTCATGGAATAGCTCGTAAGCATCTGCACTTTTTCGTATCCTCTCGGAAGTTCGGTTTGATACGATAGAAAACGATAAATTTTGTTTCGTGCCATTTTTACGAAAAAAAAAAATCATATCGTTTTGTATCGTATTTTTACAAAACAAGTAAAGATTGTTTCGTTTCGTGCCGTATTTTTATGAAACAAGAAAATTTTGTTTCGTTTCATATCGGTTTTTACGAAACATTTCATGATTCCCCCGCCCCAAACAGATATTTTACGATTCCAACACCCTCGAGCAATACATGAACTTTAACATTCAAGCAGAATAAATGCGCTTTTAATACTTATTAACTTAATTTTTGTAAACGAAAGGTTATTTCTTACTTTATTTAGTCTCGTTTCCTATTGAACTGTTTTGAGACGCAGATGCTTAGTAAATGGTACAATTTTTGTAGAAACTTACGAAGTATGTTTACATTTAATAATAGAGATCAGAGGTGGGGTGAGAAGATCTCAGCACCATACTTTTTAAAAAATCTTAAAACAAAATATAAAAGTATATTTAGAATTTTTTCTATAACTGTATGTTAGAGAAATTTTATTTATTATAACGGTTATATACTTTAGTATAACCGTTATAATAAATAAAAGAGAGGAAGGGGTATACTTACCCCGGGCGCCAAGATATTACGGGCGCCAGAAGACGACAAAAAAAATTCAAAGGGAGATTTTAATTACAAAAAAGTCAATAAATTGTTTTTATTGACGAGATATAAAATATATTTACTTGATTATATGCATAGCAATTAACTTGCTTTGTTTATATTACGAAAGAACTATAGTTTTAAATAATTTATTTTTTTAATAATTTATTAAAGAAATAAATTATTTAAAATTATAATATAACTATCTGGTCTTATCACAGATAACCGGTATTGAAGAAATTAGAAGGTTGCTTAAAGCCTATACGTTTTTAACTTTGGTCCGTATACGATTTCTCATCAAACTCAGCTTATAATATAAATAAAAAAAGACCTGTTTAAAACCTCAACTAGTCAAAGGTTACCCAAAACATCAGAACTTTTTTAAAAACTGTGTTACAAATCTTAAATCTCAACAGAAAAAAAACTGAAGAAAAGAAGTCACAACTAGAATAATCTTTTCATCCTCAAAACCAAACCAAACAAAACCAAAGTACCAATTGATTGCTAATATTGAGATAAAGATGTTGTTTCCAAAAGTGTTATTTGCAAAGATAATTCTGAATACAAAAGTAGACAAGTTTCTAAAAAGTCATTGAATATGAAAAAAAGTTGCATTAGCATCATTAAAATATAAGATATTAATTTGGATACTTTGTGCCTTGCACACAAATTAAGTACCTTTGAGGCACTTAATGTCAGCTATTGATCGGAAAACAATTTTAAACAACAAGTTTTCTGGCAATATTGGAAAATATAGCCAGAAAACTTGTTCTTATTGCAATTGATATCAAAATTTCCTGTTCTTATTGCAATTGATATCAAAAGTCTTAAATTTTGAAATTATTATATAATTGAAACTAAATACTTTCAATATCAATATCAAGATATATTTATTGAAAATAAAATATTGATGAAGTTCCTTTATCAAAACTAAATTTATCTAGTGATCAAAGTTATCTATTCAGAATAACAAAAGCTATTAAAAATAAACTAATCAAGTTGGTTCTCACAACACGTACGCGAGTTAACCTTGGCAAGTATACTTTGCAAAATCTGGTATGTTTGTGGCTCTGCCTGAAATGCTCACACTAAGTCCATTCTTTAAAGCACTACTTTGTAGCAAAGATAAAAAAAGGATGTTTGCAGTGAAGACAATACTTTCAATAAAAAATTTTTAAAAATTTAATTTTTGTAAGTTCTCCAGGAAGTACTGCTGTTAGACCACGAAAAACTCCAAAAATGAAAACCAATGCTGAAACTATTATAGAACTGATTGATTGGAGTACTGATATTTACGAACTTTTGCTCACATGCAAGATTGGTAAAGAAGAACTTATTAAGAAATTAGAAATTCCAATGGAGGTTCAATAATTAATACAATCCTTAGTAAAAATTGTAAATGAAATTACAAGAGTTTATGCATAGTGCACGGACAAGAAAGACCGGGTTTATAAAGACAACAATGGCTCCCAAAGAACTCTTCTTTTGAGCTAACAGAATCCAAAACAGTTTTTTTACATAGAACAAATGAGTAGCCCATCTGCAAAACGCGCTAAATCACAAAAATAAAAATTTTGAGTTAATTCTATTTCCACGTTCTATATACTTAAATCTATCATCTATTTAAATATTGGACCAATTAAAAAATTTTTAGTCCTAAAAATGGACAAAGAAAATATCAATTTTTGTTGTTGTGCAACTAAAAGTAAGTAAAACAATGGCTCCCAAAGAACTCTTCTTTTGAGCTAACAGAATCCAAAACAGTTTTTTTACATAGAACAAATGAGTAGCCCATCTGCAAAACGCGCTAAATCACAAAAATAAAAATTTTGAGTTAATTCTATTTCCACGTTCTATATACTTAAATCTATCATCTATTTAAATATTGGACCAATTAAAAAATTTTTAGTCCTAAAAATGGACAAAGAAAATATCAATTTTTGTTGTTGTGCAACTAAAAGTAGTTTAGTTTATGTTGTTTTCTCAAAATCAGTTTACTCGAACTTAGCGCGTTTTGCAAATTGGCTTCTCAATTATTTTGAATACTTGTATTATTTTCATTAGGTTTTATACGCATAAAAAGACATCTCCTGCACAACTTAAAATCATCTTAAACACACATTTTGTTAGCGAGTCTAAATAATAGTGCTTACATAGGTTATAATCTGTGTAAATGCTGCTCCTCAGTTCAGCTTACAAAAAGTGCTTGAAACAGTGTTAGGTTTTGCAGAAGATGTATCTAAATAAAATCCGAAATTTTTTGAAAACGTGCATTGGATGTATTATAGACGTCCTTTAGAATGCTTTAAAATCCTTTAAAGAATTTAATTTGGTAGGTCTCAAGAAGTAGTAGGAAAATGCGGATTCTGCGCCAAAATATTTGTCCTAGAAATTGTGGTTGTGTTGCAAGTTAACAATTTAGGTTTTGTCCGATAAAATATAGTTGTGTTGTAAGTTAACATTTTGGTTGTTGGGGTCTGAACAACTATAAATAAAAAAATTTTATAATGTAATTATTTTTACATAATATACAATTTTATTATTTTTTATATAAATATGGATCTAAAATTTTATTTCAAGCGTAATAGTAAACATGCCTTAACAATAAATGAAAACTTCCAGATTGTCCAATTTGTGCGTCACCAAAGTTTAATGTAACTACCATTATTCTACCATATCGACTACTTTTTTTACAGATTTATTAATTCTTAATTGTCAACTCATGATTTGAAAGTATCACAATACCCATACCACTTTACTAATGATTTGTTTCCGCGTTTACGAATAACTTTTTCAATTCTAAATATGCTTTAATTAGTTTTTTGCAGTTCTTGTTCATAAAAATACCTTGTATTTCTTCACCATTATTATCAGTTGTTTATACGTTGGTGGATCTGTAAACTGAATATGTGAAACATTAAATACCTCCTCAGTCCATCTCGGTGTGTATCCTTTTTCAAAGGCTACCTTCTTTTTAGTTATTTTAACTCTATCACCAATTGAAAACTTTGGTTTAATGGGCTCTGATCGTACTTTTCCATTTAGATTTAACTAGACAATATTCTCATTCTTTTTATCACTTGCTTCAACTGTCATTTTAGTTGAGGAATGTCTTGTGTTGTTGTATTTATTTACCATTTCATCTAAAACGTTGATATACTTTCTAGTAGAATTAGCTGAAAAGTACTTAAATATTTTCTCTTTCATAGTCCTATTCCAACGTTCAACTACACAACCTTTTTCTTCGTTTTCAGTCGAATATAACTGAACACCTAACGCTTTAACATACTTGTTATAAAATTCTAAAC